GGTAAGCAGATAGATATTAAACCAAAGCATTATTGTTTATTCTATGATTAATAATAACTTCCTTCAGTGAATATGTGTTTATTATGACTAACCAAGGTTATGTATGAGGCCGTCAGCAATCCTGAACCAGAATTGCTTACAAATTTAGCTTAAGCACTTACCATCATGTGGCTCTAGAGTCCAAAGTTTGTTGGCAGAATTATCCAGAAGGAACTGAAACGGTGGACCATTATCAGGCCCATCTAGATCTACAGGTTCCAAAACAGCATAATCCTTTTCCTGCTGACAGATGGTTAGTTCTCTGTCAATCTGTGGTGGGTGGTCATTAGAATCTTCCAGAAGAACTACCAATGTTCCCGTACAAGACCGGCCAACTAGGATAAATCAAAGATGGTTACTTCTGTTTGATATGTGCCTTCAACAACTTGTAGAACACACAGTCAACATCTGCTTTCGATGAGCTTCCCAAACCTCACACATCCTTGGCACAGAGCAGTGCATGTCTCTCTTTCCGAAAGGCTGATAGCTGATCAAAGAGTCCATGGAGGCACTTTTTAAAACTAAGAAGCATATTATAAAGACAAACCTGCTGAGTGTGACAGACCCCACACAGCTTTCTTTATAGAGACTGGATGCTCATCTTTATGATTCAAATACTTTATATTTGGTCACATCTTCTCAGCTTCTTTTTCTTCCCTCACATATTCCAAATATGGTTTTCATCTGTCTATGTGTATGAATATATTTATGAGGGTGACCGTGGAGATCAGAAGAAGCTATGGGATCCCCTGAATCTAGAGTTATAGGCCACTATGCTGAGAACCAAACTTGGATCTTCTGCAAGAGTAGCAAGCATTGTAACCACTGAGCCATCTCTCCAGCCACATCTCATATATTCTATGTAAAATTTCTCATCAAACCCTCCTTAGACTTATTTCAATTCTTGTATTCTTTGGTAACCATTTTTATTCTGGGGGGTGCTTAGGTTGGAAGCCAAGTTCTCATGTATGCTAAGCATGTTCTCTACAACTGAGTTCTATCACCAGTCCAAATTTACTAACTTTAAGAATGTACTCAGCTGGGTGTGGTGGTACACACCTTTAATCCCAATACTCAGGAGGCAGAGGCAGATGGATCTCTGATCTCTGTGGGATGGAGGTCAGCCTGGTCTACACAGGGAGCTCCAAGCCAGCTGGGGTTACAGGGAGATCCCGTCAAAGAAGGAGGAGGAGGAGGAGGAGGAGGAGGGAGAATGTACTTAAGTTTCTCAAGTATTGCTTTCTCATTAAACATGAGAAAGAACTGTTTGTCTTTTACCACAGCTGACACACTGAATGCTGAACATACAGCACAGAAAGTCTTGTTCATCCTGAGAGCCTCGTCATCTGCTCAGGATTTCTTTGCTAACTATGACTTAATGAGACTACAGGGAAACACATAATATAGCTGTTATTTCGTTTTGAAAAAATGTTAATGAGGCAGGGGACCTGGGTTTGATTCCCAGCATCCACATGGTGGCTACAAACTGTCCTTAACTCCAGTTCCAGGGGACTCTGACACCCTCTTCTGACCTCCGCGGCATTGCACAACATGGGTGCACTCATGTACACGAAGGCAATACACTCGTACACATAAAATAAAAATAATAAATTAAAAAAAATTTAATGTTAATGAGTAAGCCAAGAAAATGCTTGTATCCCACCCTAATTTAAATGATATAGTCTTGTTAACAGTAACTATGCTCATCTGTTAATACTCTTCTCAATATTTCACACATGAATCTCAATAAATATATATTTTTTGTTTTTATGTGTATGAGTGTATTGCCTGAATGAATGTGAGTGCACCCGTGTCATGCAATGCCGCGGAGGTCAGAAGAGGGCTTCAGAGTCCCCTGGAACTGGAGTTAAGGAAAGTTCATTGCTGCCATATGGGTGCTGGGAATCAAACCCGGGTCCTCTGCAAGAACAGTCAGTGCTCTTAACTGCTGAGCCATCTCTCCAGCCCCTCAATAAATATTTTTAATTAAATTACTGCTTATAATTTTGGAAGTAGATCCAAAAATAAGTAGATTTACAAAGCTACAAAAGGTTGACAGTAACTTTTTCCCCAATCAAATTTAAGCAGGCTGCCTTTTAATGAAAAGATGAAGAAAATCACAGTAGAAATCTGATAAACTGTAGCACTAATAGGAAACAATAGAATTCACTTAAGTCAACCAACAGTTATCATCTAACATTCTTTCCATCACATCTTCAATTTTAAGCATACCGATAGAAACAGTAAGAGATGCTTGATATATTTAGATTCATTAGTCAAAGCAGGAGCTAAAATCAAAGTCTTAGAAGATCTGCCAAGCCACAGAAGGCCAACAGCAACTTTTCATGTCCTATCTGGGAAACGGAGTCAAGAAGAAGCAGTTGCTAGAAATGGTTGGGGAGCACAGAAAGGCAGCTCGACACATTCAGGTGAGTTCAAAACTTACTTTAGACTATTCACTTAGACAAATGACTGGTATCAGTGAGTGTAGCCTGGCACAGTCACAGAGCCAGTTGAGCGCATGTGTGCCAATTAAAGTCTAAGTTCATAAAGAGTCTCTGAAAAAATCAGTAGTTCTACATTACTGTATGTTTTCTGAAGCTGGAAACTCACGGCATTTTAAGTCCCTGAATGGAGTTCTTTATTGCTAGAAAGATTTCACATTCTTTCTTCTTAAACCGTGATATGCCCCTGTGAATCTCCAACATTGTCATTCTGGAGTCAATAAACAAAATGCTTACCACTTTCTACATGGCACTCACACAATACTTTAGATTTTCTTTTTGGCAGAAGCTAAAATAAGAAGGTATTTTGTGAAATTTGAACTCAATTTTCTACATTAAACACAAGTGTTCAAGTGATAATTATACCCACAAAGTTGTAAAGTTGATTGTGAACATCACAACCTGGACCAGATGTGGACGTACTTCTCAAACAATAAAGAAATGACCAGTTTAAAAACATCTGCATTTGTTGGTGCTGGAGAGATGGCTCAGTGGTAAAGACTGTTGCTTTTACAGAGGACCCCAGTTCAGTTCCCAACACCTACATCAGATGACTCACAAACACACACACACACACACACACACACACACACACAAATTTTCTATATCTGTATTAAACAAACATGCACCAAATTTCAGCTAGATGCTTGGTAAAGGGATGGTTTATCAAAGAAAAATGAATGGAGTTTATCACCAGCCTAGAGGGAAAGATTATCCATGATGCATCATGTGTGATAATCACCACATTATTCCCAATGCAGGAATATTTAAAGGGCTGTGGGAGATGAGCAAAGACTAGTGAGATGATCACAGAAGTAGCCGGTGCTGCTCATTTGAAGACCTGTAGGGGCCTGCATTTGAAACAGGAGGGACAGAGATGCTCTAGGAACAAGGTGCATAGCACGTGCCTTCTACACTGCTCACAGGGAAGCCAGCCTGAAGGCAAAGAGGATGCCCACAACAAATACAAGAGTGTGAGCTGGATTCTGAGAGACTGTGGAATTAATTTCCTAAGTCATTATCTAGAAATATTTTGGAGTATCAAAACAAAATGTCCATAGTTTACACACATACATACATGAGCATAGACTAAAATTCAATGAAATAAAATTCTTCACGTTGTCTATGATTTTTTCCATTAAAACTTGTAGCATTGTCATCTTTTGTAGAGCATTTCTAAATTTCCTAATTCCCTGGGTCACTTTTGGATAAGTTTTGCTCTTTTTTCTTATACTGCACTCGCCATGCTTATAAACAGTATCTTTCAGCACTAAACAACAAATTTCTTATATGTTGATCTCTAAAACTTCTTACTCTACAAACAGTATTTTGTCTTCCTGCCATCCAGTGTCTGCATTTCTGTAAACCCTCCCCTTTGTGTTTAACTCTAAAAGCTCTTAACTCCCTCTACTTGTGAAGAGATCTGAACACTCTTTATCAGTGAAATGTTCATACCATAGAACCTCTTACAAGAATACGAAGCTGTCGGCCTTTCATTAAGAAGATCAAACCCTCATCTTGTGATTTGAAGTTTCTACAACCTAGTACTTGGACTTTAATATGCAATCAATATCTAAAAATAAATGAGTAAATAAAAATCTTGTGTCCCATCATAATTACATTTTTAAGCAAGTTAGATTTCATTTTTATTTGAGCAAATCACTCAGAATTGTAAAGTAAGAGCAAGTTAACTATATTTCTCAGCTGGTACTTTCTCCACTATTTTTTATGGTTTTTCTACTTATGTTAAAATAACTACAAGAAAAGAATTCATGTGTGAGGAAACATGACATGAAGGTGACTAAACAATGATAGTCACAACCAGGTTTCCTTTCAGAGGCAGTTCAGATATTTGAATCCCAAATGTTTTAAATGCAGAAGGGTGTGCAATGTGGTATTTCCATCTCAAGGGGAACAGGTGAGAAGAAAAGACTTGAATGGGGCAGATTGTGTGTGAATTGGGCTACCCTTTCCATTGACGTAGGAAGCAGCTGGAGTCTCTATCGGTTTAATCCTTTGTCTTTCAACAGATGCAACTTCAAGACTATAGAAAAGTTGAGGTTTAATACCAGAGAAAGCAATGTATGTAATTAACTGAAGAAATTCAATAAATGTGTCGAAATAGTTTACAATATTGCTGTGTTGGGCAGTATGCTCAACTTGTGTAGATAAAAACAGTGGAGACCTTTTTGGATTAATCAGGTAGTTGAAAGAATTGGTCTCTCTAAAAAGCTCAAGATTATTTTCCTTTACTACTTATGATAATTTGTCTCAAATGTAATCAAAGTTATGAAATTAAGCAATAGTGCTTCAATTTATATTTTCATCACTTTTTTTTTTTTTGGTCTTTTTGAGACAGGGTCTCCCTGTAGACCCAGCTGGCCTGGAACTCACTATGTAGACCAGACTGGCCTTGAACTCACAGAGATCTGTCTGCCTCTGCCTCCTGAGTACTGGGATTAAAGGCATGTGCCACGACACCAGGCTGTTTTCATCACTTTTAAATAGTTGCTTTGTGTATTATATAGTAGTTTATGTTTATAAGCACAATAGCAAACATTTTAGCATATGTATATATATTTTAAACTATTTAAAATGTTTCTTATAGAGTTCATTCCTAAAGGGTTTCAAGGTCACTGCTGTACAGTATCTGATGGATACGCTTTTCAGAGTACTTTTTAGAAATAATCTTGAAGATTGCGAACCACAGCAAAGATGTGAGCCAACACTGGATTATTTCTTTGTTCAGAGAAGCTCAGAATAAACCTACCATGAACCCAACTGTTTCAGGTGGGTTGACCCCTTTCAGCATGTGCAAATAAAATAATTCAAGTCTGTACCCCTTAAAAAAGCACAGAGATTCTTGAACATGCCCTGTTCCCTCACCAGACATAATACAGTCACCAAAACTCAGACTTCGGTCATTTATCACTCTTGTAGCTTTGCATCACTGATGGACAGGGGCCTAAATTGCCATAATAAATAGAGTCACCATAATAAATACATTTTGGAGAGTTGTTTTTATTATTTTAATTACATGTGTGCATATTTGTTTTAAATATGTTTTATTGTTTTTCTTTTATGTGTATGAGTATATTGCTGGCATGTATGTGAGTGCACCCATGTCATGCAATGCCTCAGAAGTAAGACGAGGGTGATAGATTCCCCAGGAACTGAAGCCATCATGTGCGTGCTGGGAATCAAACCCAGGTCCTCTGCAAGAGCAGTCAGTGCTCTTATCCGCTGAGCCATCTCTCCAGCCCCGTGTGCATATTTTTGTGGGTGTTTATGCACGTGAGTGAAGGTGCCCATGGAAGCCAGAGGTATCAGAACTCTCTAAGCTGGAGTTACAGGCAGTTATAAGCTGCCCAGTGTGAGTGATTGTAACTAAACTCCAGTCTTCTTCAAGAGGAGCAAGTGCTGTTAACCACAGAACCATTTCTCCAGCACTGAATACATTATTTTTTTGCATTATACATTTTCAGTACTTTGATGGAAACAATGTCTGTATTAAATTTTGACCTAGAAACAACCAGCTCTTACCCTGGACTTTCCTAGAAACATACCCTGCATTTGCATTTTATTTTAGAAAACGGCACTCACCCGTATCCACCGCCACCACTGAAATGTTGTACTGGTTGTTTTTCACAAACTTTGATTCTCGGTCTAGTATTTTTAAAGTTTTCAAGTCTCCAGTGTTCTCATTAATTTCAAACCAGTTGTCTTGATCTCCTAACATCTGATACCTAATTTTTAGAAATCAAACATAAAATGATCAAACCAAAGGGAGACACATAGACCTTCCCTTTATGCACTGATGAAAGTGAAGGAGCTTTCAGGAAAGTGGTTACCTCAGTCCTTCACTGCTGCTGGTTTCTGGGTCCATGGCTTTGTAACCCAGGAGGTCTTGGCCAGCTGGCAAGCCATCTTTGCTCTGAATAACTTTGACTGGTGGCTGGCACTCAGGACCCTCATCACTGTCTTTAACTTTCACAGTGACAGTTGTAGTGCACATGGTAGGAGTTTGTGAGTTAGCTGCTTTGGAGAACTGGGCTTCATTAAGAACACCGATTTGTAGGATGATTTGGCGATTGAGTTCATAGTTTAATGGCTGTTTTAAAATTATACTTTAATTAGTCAAAATACCCTTATACAGAAAACCAATATTTCCAAGTTTTAATAGAAATGTCATTCTTAATTTTAATGATTTATTTATCTTTCTTTTTTTTCTTTTTTTTTTTTTTTTGGTCTTTATGAAGCAGGGTCTCCCTGTAGCCCCAGCTGTCCTGGAACTCACTATGTAGACCAGGCTGGCCTGCCACCATGCCTGGCTTATTTATCTTTTATATATTTATTTTGTATGTCTATGTCTGTGTGTATATATGTGCACATTCCTGCTGGTGCTTGTGGAAGCCAGAAGAAGGTGCGGGATCCCCTGGAACTGGAGTTGCAGATGGTTTTGAGCCACCTGACGTGGGTGCTGGGAACTGAACTAAGTCCTCTGTAAATGAAGCAAGCACTCTTAACTGATGAAACCATCTCTTCAGCCCTGCATTCTTAGTTTTAAAATGTTATCAAGGGGCTGGAGAGATGACTCAGCAGTTAAGAGTGCTTGCTGCTCTTCCAGAGGACCTGAGTTCAATTCCCAGCACCCATGTTGGGCAGCTCACAACTGCCTGTAACTTTTTTCTCTGCCTCAGTTATCTTCATACCTAGAGGAATGAGGTTTGTGCCTGACATGAGTTCTTTCTAAGAAAAAAAGGATGAAGAAAAACATTTCTGTAATCCAATGTAAGTCATTTCAGCGTCTCACAGCAATGTTCTAATATACAGAGGTAGTGTTCATTTTTAAACTTATTTATTCTTTTGAATATATACAGACTATTCTTTAATCTAAGTTCCCTCCACACACACATAGCTTCTCTTAACCCTTTCCACATCCCACCAAATCCCTTCTTCCCAAGTTCCCTTCCTGCATGTATGTCTGTATCTGTGTGTTCAACACATTGCATTTGATTGGCTTTCCTGCGTGAGTGTGGATGCATGATTATTTACTTGAGCTGGGAAATGTGCCATGAACTACACCACTCAGGAACAAGACTCATCTCCCCTAAAATTTTTAGCTGCCAAGAGCTCCTCTGGGAGGGACTCTTAGGAAGTGTTCATTTTTATACAATGCCCAAACATAATTTTGAATGTTTTAAAGAACAGCTTTATAATTATTTACTTACCTTAACAACACACAAGACCCCGTCATTTGTATTTGGATCTGTGGTGATTTTGAAATTTCCATTTTCATTTCCCTGTAAGATTGTGTACACTGCCTTTGAGTGAGGAGTGTTTGGCAAATCTTGGTCTTGTACTTTCATTCGTAAAATCTCAACATCGATTCTGTTTTCTTCAACTTCTGTAGTATACTGAAAAAAGGAAACCTTTCTAATTATCATCCACAGCCTTAACAATGTGGTTTCTACTGTAAAAGTTATATTTAAGTAAGAGGAAAAGTGTTTTGGAAATAATAGAGGCCCATAGTCGGAAAAGGAATTTATAAGATTTATGCCTAGTATACTTTGTCTTCTTAAGTCTCTTTTCAAATCTTTGCTGTTCACCAAAGATGAATGACTCATCTCTTAACTGCTGGACTTCCAGAAGATGTTCCTACTCAGTCTAGCCCTCAGATTCAGCTCTTCTCTGATTCTGAATAATTTTTATAATCCGTCTCTCCTTATAATATTTATAGTCTGTCTCTCCTTTTTAGACATGCTAAGCACCAATTAAATATTTTCTGTTAACATATTGAGTACACAATACTTACAGATAATGCAAACATACACTACTTTTTTAGAACATTGGGGCTTGGACCTAGGGTCTCCTGAATGCAAGCCAAGTCTCTAACTTTTTCACAATCATCTTTCTTTATTTACTTTGGTTCACTAGCAAAAGCTTTAAGAGAAAAATTATCCTTTTGTGGGGGGAATTAACTCATAGATACCTCCCTCCAAAATAAAAATGATAACAAAAGCCTAGATACTAAATACCTAGAAACCAGCACAGATCAGAATCTGCAGGAGATAGGAGATAAATTCATAGGAGGGTGAAAGAGATCAGATCTAGACTTGAATCCTGCTCCCCCAGCTTATGGACTGTATGGGTGTGATCTTGGACAAGTTCCTTAACATGTCTTCATTTCTTCCTATGACACATGGGATAATCTACTTCCTTATACATTTTGGAGATCCATGTAAAGAATTACACAGATGTGCCCCTCACTGTGTTGACAGGGTCTTCATTCTCTGACTGGTGCCCCAGGGTAGGCTCATGAAAAAAGTGGAAGATAACTCATTAAAAGTCAGAAAAACAACCACTACCTGGGGATGATCTCTTACATGTGTCTAGCATAACTTACTGCCCAAGGCAAAGTGTGTTCACGGGATGCTGAAAGGGTTGGGGTTGAGGTTGTACTCTGACCCCAAGAGAAGGTATAAAGCCAGTCTCATTCTCAGCTTCAGAACTAGAAATATAAAGGAAACTACTGAGCAGGCCTGCTCTTTACCTTATAAAAGAATTTAAGTCCAAGGAATCAGAAACTGGAGCTTAATAACCAAGAAAACACCAAACTCATGAACAGCACCAGGGATGAAGGAATTCTTTGGTGACCAAGAATATAGCGATTTCCCTACATCTGGAAACAACTGACACTTCAGTTATTCCACTTCTAAAACCGTACTTTTTCCTCCTGGATTATGTATGCACTCCGAGTGCTGCCAAGTGCTGGATTTGTGTCTGAAATAGTAAAGGGCTCTATAGCTCACCAAGCCCAGAGACCTACTCACAGAAGTTTGGGTAAAATATGGCGAGTTGTCATTTTCATCCTCAAGTGAAATAGTGATTGTTCCTGTGGTGAATAGACCAAAGGGCTGGCCTCCCATGTCTCGGACCTCCATGACTAGCCTGTAAGTGTCACATTTCTGTAAAAGAAGAAAAAGAAGTAGTGGCAAGCATTGCCACTTCCTGCAATTTACAGTGGTCATAATTACTCCTTATGCTGTGGCTATTGTATAAACATCCTTTAAAATTATATATATGTTATACATACATGTCTGGTCCTAAATGCCATTGGATAAAAAACATCACAAATGTGAATACGGAACAAGAAACTGACCAAATAGCACAGTTAATTTCAATTGTCACTTTAGCTAGATTTGGAATCACTGAGGAGACAGCACTCTGACCATGTATGAGGGATTTCCAGAGATTCAGCTGCGGAGAGGGATCCGCCCTGAGTGTGGAAGGCACTGGCTGGGATCCCAGACTAAACAAAAGGGAAGGAGAAAGACGGCCGAATGCCAGAACTCATCTTTTTCTGCTTCCTGTGACTGCAGTGTAACCAGCACCACCCTGTCTTGTTGGACTGTACCCTCAAATCAGAGCAACAGTCAACCCCTCCTTCCCTAAGTCGCTTTTCTTACACCTTCTGTCACAAGAAAAGTAGCTAATGCAGAAGTTGGTGTATCTAACATAACAATTTGAAATGTAAACTTATGTATTCATAATTGCAAAAACTGAAGCAAAACCAAGATGTTCTTCAGCCGGTATATGGGTAAACAAGCTGGTGCAGTCAGACAGCAGAATATTACCTGCTACCGGAAAGAAAGGAGCTATGGAGACATAAAAAGGCACGGAGGAAATTAAAATGCAGCTCAAGAGAAAGCAGCTAATCTGGAAAGACCACATATTGCATGATTCCAACTATGTGACATTCTGAGAAAAGTGGAACTGTAGGGCCGAAAAGAAAGAAAAGCAAAGAACAGTGGTTTGCAGGAAGATGAAGAACAAGGAACAGGAGGGGCTTGGAAGATTCTTAGAGCAGTGAAACTATTCTGCATGGTGTAGTGATGAACTTGTCTTTACATTCGTCTAAACCCTTAGATGGAAGAGCATCAAGGACAGATCAGTTCAGACTATGGACTGCGGGTGCTAAGGGCATGTGCGCACAGGCTCACTGACTGTCCCGAGAATGCCACTGTGCTCTACAGTGTTGGTGGTACAGGAGGCTGTATGTGTAAGGTGGATGCAAATGGGAATCCTCCCGACTTCCTGCTCAATGTACCAGTGACCCAAAACTACTTTGATAAAATATTTTATTAAATTTTCAAAATTACTTAATCAAAATAAAAGCAAAAATAAAATAAGTTGGAGCAATGTCATCATCAGCACCCCAGATCAGGTCGGTGAGATCCAGTCAGACCTGTGTTATACCTTGTACTGTGTTAACATCTCTGCAGAGAAGCTGTGAATACAGCCTGGGAAAGAAGCTTAGGGCGTAACCAGGACAACCTCACTGTAACTTGCCTTGGCAGCAGTTCTCAGCTTAAACACACTTAGTGGCTGATAAGTTAATGCACTGATCCATTACCTCTCTATCCAGCAAAGGCGTGGTGGTAGTGATGACGCCTGTGTCTGGGTGTATGGAGAAATGCTTGGGGTGATCTGGGATTTGCTGCAGGATTTTGTATTTCAGGCGGGTATGTAGTGTCCCTGGCTCATCGTTGTCTATGGCAGTCACCTGTCCCACTGAAGTTCCTGTTTACGTAAAGGCAATATTGGCAAAAATCTAAATCACGATACGGTCACACACAAAAATAAAGGTATTAGTGCAGTAAATTTTCCAAACACACACACACATTTTTTTTTTTTACAGATAATCTAAGGAGTGTAGAAATCTTCTATAAAATTTCTCCATACCTCTCTTCCATGGAACTTCAATTAGGTGGCTACTGAGAAAAGCATGATCTGTATTTTACAGATGACAGCACCTTCCATAACAATGGTTCTTAAATTCTTTCTCCCAGATCAACATATCTTTGCATAACAAAGAATTTATGCTTTACATGTTACATGCTGAATTACTAATATATGCAAGCAGCTGTTAGTATTGGCAGAATTAAATATTATGCCGCCATCTAAGTATCATGTAGACAAGATTCACAGCCCAGACATGACATGAGAGAACATTAGGAATGACGTCAGAAATCCACACTGCTTGTCAGAGAGCAATATTGCACTTACACATGTAGCCAGCAACAATACACAGGATCCCATAATAATCAACAACGCTTCTTGCTAAGTTTTAATATACTGGACAGTTTTTTTTATGCTCTTCCATCAGCTTAGGTTACAATCTTGGTTTCACATAACATCAAACCAGATAAAACTTTGCTTTCAACTTGCTTGGAAGACATGCCAGGAAAACCAGTGTAAATGTTGTTATAAATTTAGCAAACATGTTCATGCCCAGTATGTCTCCAGGTTCTTGAAAATATATTGAAACTTCATAAAGATTCCAATTAAACACTATTTTGTAAAGTCATCTGTTATATATAGGCACATACTAAAAATAGAGAAATCATATTTTTGGTCACATATTCAGGTCCACTATGAGTTAATCTAACTATTTACAATCTTTTTTCTATTATTTAGAAGTCTTTTATATGTGAGTAGCAATATAAACAGAAAGATGTTGTTGCCTTTGCAATGTGTATGATCTTATAAAAGTAGATTACATATTGTATACTTCTGAGACTCAATCATTTTTAAATGTCTTACATAGTTATTCAAATCATTAAAGAAGAATTCAACTTAAGCAAAAATGTAGTGCTTTCCTAAGACTTTCATCATAGTGACATGGTAAACATCATAGCCATGGATCACAAACTAAGGCTAAAATGAAAGCCAACATCCAAAGTCATTTCATAAAAATCAATTCAGAAAAGCAACAATGATTTTATAAGATTTCAACAAAAACACAGCCTACAAAAGTCAACTCTGAAGTACAACATCAGTTAAAATGCCCTTCGGCATTACAGAATGAATTCCCTGGGGTCTTCTTCATGCCACCTTTGTCACTCATCAGATAAGAAGGTAGTCGAATGTGTCCCACATCCAGCCTTTCAAAACCCTTAGATAAATGACCATTAAAAATAATATTGAACAAATAACTTCTCATTCTATTGGAAGGTGCTACAGTGCTTGACCCATTCATGACCCCCAGTCACGGTCTCTATGAGTTCCCACTGGGCCTACCCAATGGAGAAAGAGCACATAGGCAGAGATCAAGTGCACCATGCAACTTCACCTTCTTGAGGTGTCATTTCTCATTGTATGTCTGACCCACTCATGACTCCCAGTCACGGTCTCTATGAGTTCCCAGCTGGGCATCTGTTTAGACAACACCTCCTACTTCTTCCAACCAGAAACCCAGCAACTCTTACAGAACTCCAGCAATCTGAACTTCAACAACAACTAACCTAGAAAGAACTGTGTTAAGTAAATATTTCCAGGATGGCGAAGTCATGATATGAAAGGGAACATAGAAAGGATTTACCTTAAGAATCATTTTGAATTTAAGAGCAATTTGACCCTTGCTATAAAAAGAATAAAACATCAATTTCTATTAGGGAAACAAAATGTATATAATCAAAAGTACCAAAAAAGCATGACGTGCAATTATAAAATTAAACATTTTAAATTATACTACTTTTTAAGTTCTAAATTATCTTTTTATTATACCACTGTAAAACATCTAGCCAGGAAGAAGGCTCAGGGAGTAAAGGCACTTGCTACTGAGCCTGATGACCTGATTTCAAGCTCTGGGATCCACATGGACCCACACCCACAAACCTAAATAAATAAATAAATATTCAATAAATAAATATTCAATAATAAATAATTTTTTTATGTGAGCTTACCAGAGCGGCAATTCTCAGGCACACTAAAAACTGTCAGTTTGGTTTCAAAATACGGGGCATTGTCATTGTCATCTTCGACTTTGAACAGCAAGGGGAGCGGGTAGTCCGGGGCGTAGCCATCTGCAGTGGTCGCATAGCCGTAAACCTGGAAGGAAAGCAGCGCTGGTCCCCAAATGACAAATCACTCACAAAAGTGATAGTAAAAGTAGAGCACAACGTTGCATCTGAAATGCCATCCACAGGTGTGTGTGACCTGATTGATGCAACAGGGAGGAAGCTCACGGGAACAGTGGACAAGAACCGTGTAGCCACAGTCCCCTTGGGCTGTTACCCTCAGTATTCTCCCTCCAAAGTACCACGAGCTCCCAGGGGCTCTCAGAATTACCTGCATGGTGTTCTACTTGAAGAACACAGGTGGACTTCCGCAGTTATGCTCATAAAAGGTATCACAAAAGTTTATGATTGTAAATTCAACACACACACATATATATGTATATATTTGTATATATAAATTACCTATGGGTAATGTCTCTACCTGTATATTCTAATTTTTCTCTCATAAGCATACAGTTTTTAATGCTAATAAAATGCATGCATATCCTAAACACCATCTCAAAATGATCCATCTTGGCCCGAGTCACCAGGATTTAATGTCTTTTCCCTTTAAGTTCCATCAGTGCTCACTCTCCTTATGTAGCTGGTGCACAGCCACACTATTCAGTCCTCCAACACTTCCCTTCTGTCCCTAGATTATGTGAAGTTTTCTTTTTCAAAGTGCTATTATTTTGAGATTTGAGACTAGAGAAAATTATAAAATTGTGTTATATCGTTGTTAGATTACAATTGTCCTCAGGCATGAACTCCAAGACATACTGGTATTTTTTTTCCCGGGAGTACCTAACATAGTAACACAGTGCCTTGGACTGGGTAAGTTTTTAATAAACAACCTTAGTAATCAATTCAGCCACCTTTCCCTTTCAGGAACACAAACTACCCTTTAAGTGTGCCTGCTGTATGCATTCTCCCACCTCATCACAACGGCATTGAGTCGATCTCTCAGTGGAAATGGAGCACCTACAAATACACACGATTTCATATCCACTGATTTAGACACAGGTTTTGTTTAGCTTCACCTGTGTCCGCTCTGCCTCTGTTTACTGAGATCTTTGCTTGTTTTCTCTCAGTGGAAATGGAGCGCCTTTGCTTCCCACCAGGTGAGCATGTGTAACTTGAAATAATATTTCTTGATATTTGCCTACAAATACACACGATTTCATATCCACTGATTTAGACACAGGTTTTGTTTCAAGTGTTATATTGGTTTTATATTTCACTAGTGATGAGTCGAGAATCTCCAAAAGAAATCCTAACTGAAATCATTGTTTCAAGGAGGATCATTGAAATTGGAAAGGAGCTAAACACTAGAGTCTGGTCTCACACTTGAAGAGAATGCACTCACTCTCACATAACAGAGCCACTCACTATAAAATGTTCTTACTTAATCTTTATAGCAGTACTTTGAGAACTACGTAAGAAATGGCTTTGTGTTTGAATCCAATTGTTCTACATTAAAAGCAATACTAATAAATTGAAATGTTGGTATTATATATAATACTAGTAATAATATAGTCATATTTTGACTGTGTTAAGAATGTGACTTCAATGCCATGGCTCTGTTTTTGTAATTTTTTATTTTGTCTTTTGCTTTTGTTTTGAGACAGGGTCTCACTGCAGCCCCAGCTGGCCTGGAAGTCACTATGTAAACCTGGCTGGCCTCAATATCATAGAGATCCATGTTCCTCTTCTTCCTGAGTGCTGGAACTAAAGGTGTGCCACTATACCCAGCTGAGTCTATTATTTTTCTCAGGGATGTTTCTAGAGCCTGGAGAAGCTATCTCATTCATCCCTTCCATATTTTGCTTTGTTGAAATGTCTGTCATCTTTGGGAAAATTCAAACAACTTCCAACAGGATTTGGAATGTGAGTTTGCCCTCACAGTGAGAAGTATCCAGTTCTGACCAAGCAGAGAAAGGGAAGAAGGTAGTACCAAGACCAAGCAGGTCCAGAAGGGGAGTTGGTCGAACAGAAAGACAATGCATAGTATGGCATATCTGAAAAAAAAAAATCATCATTGCTCAATAGTAAGTGTCTAGCTGGAAAGGGAAGATGGGAACAGAGTTCCACAGATTTTTCCAAAGATACGAATTCCCCCAACACTCAGAGAGGAACCGTCTTTGCAGCTGCCTTCCTTTGTAGAATAGTTTAAAACTGTTAAAGAAAGCTCTCTTCTTATTTGGGAAACTTTCAAAAATGCCTGCCATGAATTCTTGCAAGGTTAGGTAAATTCGATGTTTTTAAAAAATACTCCCTAAACTGCAGTAATGGAGTGAGTACCCAGAAAATCTTCACAGGGCAAGATGAAATGACCCAACAAGGGGCAAAAGAGAGAGCATGAAGGCAGTAAGAACTGTACTGAATTGGCCCCACGACTGCCACTCTGTTATTGATTAAATGGAATCATTTTAAACATGGTAATTTATTATCAAAACCTCATTTATATAAATTAGATAAAAGCAGAGGATTGAGCAATTCCATTAAAATCCCAAGAAAAAAATTCTGGAGTCTACACATTCATGTCTCTAAAGAGTTTTCCTCTTATGATATCGCCAGTCCTATACCATTGGCCATCACAACAGCTCTCAGGTAGGTAGGATAGCTCTTAGCAGCCTATACACCAACAAAACAGACCCCTGGAGGCTGTGGTTCTCCAAGCCACAAGGAATACTGACAGGCACTTAATGTACCAGAGGAATCATCCAATAATATATCTTTTTCAACTGATTATTTGATAAAAATCATTTATATGTAGATTTAAAGTATATTAACTTAAACTTTTCCTTTGACAGAGAAATCTTCTATTCCATCTTACTTTGAACTATTTTTATGATTGACATCATGTTTACATCTTATTGTGATACTTTGCTTAAATTCTACTTAAAAATAATAATAATAAGTTTTATAAATGCTGCTTCTTAATGCCAATTCAGACCTAAACATTGGAGAAACAGAGGTAGTGCTTATGGTAAAATGTTTCCAAAGCCTAACTTGAACACAGACTGCAACTTAGTTTATTCATCTCGCCCATAAAAATAGCAAAAAATAGCAAAGGATCTGTCAGGAAGCTGACAAAGCTCAGTGGACCACACACAAAAAGAAGATATGAAAAAAAAGTGGGTTTGTCGAAAAGACAGTTCTAGTGAAGGAGGGAGACAAGAAAGAGAATGGGGTGGCAATGACTAAAATTCAATATGCAAATGTATGAAACTGTCAAACAATAACAAAAATTTAAAAGGTAGCAAAGAAGCTTATTTTGCTTATCTTTAATTTTAAACGATTGTCTCCCCTCCCCTCGCACAACGTTTACAGTAAGAACCAAGAAAAGCAGACGCTTGGAAAACAAGCCCTGTCAGATAATCTCAGACTAGTCAACTAAATACTGTATCATTCAGAGTACGTAGGCTTTCTTTCTCCACAAGAGTGACTTGTGGAGTGACAGCTGCTGCAGGTGAAGGAGCTGTAAAAGCTGCAAGCGGCTCATACATTCTCTAGCAGGTGCTATCTGTTTATGGATAGAAAGATAAAGTGGTTACAGTGGGGTTGGGGGAAGAACACATGCTTAGCATATGTGAGGCCCCCATGCTCAATAACACACACACACACACACGAAAAAAGCAGAAATGAAAATAAAAAACCAAGTTGGGCTGTTGATTCAGCTCAGTAGCAGAATACTTGCCTATTGTGCACAATGCCCTGGATTACATCCCCAGCACTTCAAAAAGTAAAACTAAAATTCATTTATACCTTTAATCCCAGTACTCCAAAGGCAGAGGCAGGAGGACTTCTGTGAATTCCAGGCCAGCCTAGTCTACATACTGAGTTCCAGGACAACCACGGTTATTTGTCTCAAATAAACAAATAACAAACGAACAGTTTTATAATATCAGAAGCATGATTGCTTGACCTAGAGGATTTTTGAAGGAACATGAAAGAGAAAATGTCACTGCAGCCCCGCCTTTGTTATAAGTAGAAATGTTGTTTTAAAATTTGCACTGCCCTCAGAAATTCTGTGACAGACATCCTAGAACAAGGTCCAGTCTCCTCTGCATGAAGAGCAGTACCATCTTCTCTTTACCCTTCCTCCTTTGTATTTCACATCTAAGTGGCCAACTATCCTAGTCTGGGTTTGCCATAGTGGATCTGTCCTTCCTTCTCCTTTCCCTTTCCCCTCCCCTCCC